TACTGTCTTCTCTTAAATGGCTGTGTTTCTGATTGGACCTTAAATCTGAATAGTATAATTTAGGTGCAGTGGTAATCATGATATATAGTTCACTCATTGATTATTTTTCTGTCATGACCTGATTATATTATTTTTCTGTCATGACCTGATTATAATTCTTACTCATAAAAGGGGTCATATATTTTTTTTCTGGGGTTTCATGATATATTTTGATACTTTACGAGTGTATTAAGAAAGAGAACCCAATTAAGAAATGATTTGTTGATTTTAGGATCGCATGTTAAGATTTCTTTGAGGACAAAGTAGCCGATGGTTCAGCTAGATTCACAATTAATGACTGGAACATTGTTTAGGAGGAAATCCCGCAATTGTATATTGGTCCAGTCTCCTAGTCAATGCAGATAAATGCCCTTTAGGAAGTTGTCAGAGCCTTTTAACAAGTTCCCCTTGCCCTTATGGCTTGGACTGAACCTCACCGATCTGAGGTGTAAATTTGACTATATGGATTGTGTGTTTTATTGCTCTCCCTTCTCCTGTTTCCGATGAAACTCCTGTCTACTTACATATTTAAGATCTTGGATCCCTTCTTCTGCATAGCTAGTTGAAATTTTGGCGACATATACTTTTGGGAGAAATTACCCTTTGTAAACCTGAGACAAATTATGCACCAAATTGTTCTTTGTGAAGTCATTTGCTTCGTTTTTACTTTCTTTTATAACTTTTCTGAATACAATGTGATGTTTGCATTTTTCATGCATAGTTGATACCAGATGATATGGAGTTTCAAACCGGAGATATGCCTAATTACACAACTTCAGACGGATCTGTACGTACTATCTGCATTCCCCCCTTTTTGTTGTTATGTTTATATTTATGTATCTTTAGTTTGAATTTTCAGAAGGCGTGATCTATTTTGTCTTTGACAGGTTAAAATTCAGAAAGAAAGTGAAGTTAGGCTGAAGATTATTGGAACTCGAGTTGATGCTACAGAAATTGTATGCCCTTCAACTGTCTTTTACATAGTTCAAACTGTATTTCTTTATTGTTGGCTTGTTTAGTTCAAACTGTATTTCTTTATTGTTGGCTTGTTGTATGCTTGCGTGGGTGCCCCCCTCTTCTCATACCCCTTATTCTCTTTGAAAAAATGGAACAAATGAGCACATGCATACTTTTGGTAAATGCTCAATGCTCATATTAGATATGCAATGTGGGTGGGAGGTGGGGGAGAGAGAGAATGGAATTGTATGCTAATACACTAAGAGGGAAATCTAATTGGTTTAATCAAATCTACATAAATCATTTGGCAAAGAAGAAGAAAATAAAAATTCTTTTAGCAAGCTTACTCAAACATCTGTCTCTAAGTCAATTTTGTTATTTATACGCTTACTCATGAAAAGCCTCTGCTTATATAATGGTTTGAAATTTTGGCATTAAAACAAATCATACTGTACATGAAAACAACTAGTTGCTAGTGTATTTTATTTGTTTAAAAAATGGCCTTTATGACAAAAAACAGAAGCGATAGTAAATTTTCTACTATCATTTTAATATGCCTGCATTATATTTCATATTAATGACCTTGCCTCTTTGTGTAACCTGCATTAGGCTTGAGTTACTTTGGATTGAGTAATTTGTCATGGTTCGAAGATCACATCTCTATTTCTTGTCTCCAGTGCAATCTATTCATTTATAATCAACTTAGTTGTTTCATCCTCCACCGTCTGAAGTCTGATGTTAGCTCTTCTTTTGCAGTTCTGTATTGGCACCATAAAGGACGACTTCTTGGGTGTAATCAGTGATCCAGGCGCAACTTCCTGAATTGAAAGCTGGGCTTATTTTGGATCTTCAAACACACTCTCTGGCTATTACATTGAGCATTTTATGCTATAATGAATTATGATTTGAACAAATACTGATGTTTATGCTGTAGGGATATGTATGTGACAGTTTATTTAAACTGAATGATTTGAGTGCTTGATGAGATCTCATGTTCAATGATCTGTCTCTTTATATCAAAGCTCACATTGCTTTCTTAGTGGGGTTATTGTTCAACAGAGAATCCTTCTTATCTACAGAACTAAATATATTCGACGTGGAATTTGTGCTTGGTTAGGGCTCTATGAATGTTATATCTGGAATACGGCAATCTGATGTGCGGATTGTTTCTATTAAGATATATATGCACGACTCATCGCCTAAATCCTGTATTCAATTTTTTCGAATTTGGGCCTTAGGTGCCATGGGGTTCGAAATTGGGTTCGAACTTTGAATCCTACCCACAAAATGTTTAAAGTTAGAATCCTTGGAGAATGAGTTCGAACCCTATGCCCCAAAATGGCCGAAAACTTTTGTTATTGGTGTCCAAAATGGCCTTGATGCCTCAAGGGTGTTTCTACTATTACTTCCTAAACTATTGTTAAGCCTATGTTTGATTTTGCTAAAAATCAATTTTTTATTAAATTTTGATGTAAGTCGATAATACAATGGGTCATATGAAATTGAACAATGTTATGTAGTTTCATTGAGGTTGTAACTCTTAACCTAAGTGACACTAGTTGATATGTTAAATAAATTATGAAATTAAATGAGTTATTTAATTTTACCTCTTAATTAATGCTACATTAGTGTCACGTAAATTGGAATTGCAACTCTAGTGAGACTAAAGAGCATTACTTTATGAAATATGTGTTTAAAAATGAGTTTAGGGATAAATGAGTTTTAAAAAGGGCCGAACAAGCACTTTTTTTGGAATATTGGGACCAACCTCACTCATTCTCATAAGTTCGGGACCAATGTGCTGCTTGGTGAAAAAGTTAAGGACCAAAAATGCAATCTAACGAGGAAATTTTATTTATTTATTTTTTCACTAGGTTGTAATGACCACTGCCATCAAATTTTTGCCAAACATTTTTTTTTTTTAGTTAAGTGTTCATGAGCAACCGGAACAGCCACAGTGACCCCTGAAGCTAATGCAAAGCGAATCCGAATGTTTCAACTCCAAACTCCCCAAATTCTCCAACCGATTTCCCTTCCAACAATTCTGTTCCACTGCTATCCCTCCACCCGCTCTTCCCATTATCATCGCCCGACCTCCGTCGCATTCCACTGCTCCACAAACGCTACCGCCACTACAACCCTCAGCGTGACCAATAACAACCACTTAATTCAATCACTCTGCAAGAAGGGTCAACTCAAACAAGCGCTCAATCTCCTTTCCCACGAGCCCAACCCAACCCAGCACACTTACGAGCTTCTTATCCTTGCTTGCACCCATCAGAACTCTCTGTCTGATGCATTTATCGTTCAACGGGACTTAATTGAAAATGGGTTTGATCAGGACCCTTTTCTGGCCACGAAGTTGATTAATATGTTTTCAGAATTGGACTCAGTTGAGCATGCTCGCCAGGTGTTTGATAAAATTAATCACAGAACTATTTATATTTGGAATGCATTTTTTCGTGCGTTATCTTTATCGGGTCGTGGAGAAGAGGTTTTGAGTTTGTACAGGGAAATGAATCGGATTGGAGTCCCTTCGGACAGGTTTACTTATACTTACGCACTTAAGTCTTGTGTGGTTTCAGAGTCGCAGCTTTCTTTACTCTGGAGGGGGAAAGAAATTCATGCGCACATTTTGCGACATGGATACGAGAAACATGTGCACATTATGACTACTTTAGTGGACATGTATGCAAAATTTGGATGTGTTGAAAATGCTAGTTGCGTGTTCTGTGCAATGCCAGTCAAAAATGTGGTTTCTTGGAGTGCTATGATAGCATGTTATGCGAAGAATGGGAGGCCACTTGAGGCATTGGAGGTTTTTAGGGAGATGATGCTTGAGAGTGAGGATATGCTGCCTAATTCAGTTACCATGGTCAGTGTGCTTCAAGCTTGTGCGGCTATAGCTGCATTGGAGCAAGGGAAGTTGATACACGGCTACATACTTAGGAAAGGTCTTGATTCGATTCTACCTGTTATTAGTGCCCTCATGACTATGTACGCTAGGTGTGGTGATCTTGAGTTGGGGAAACGTGTTTTCTTTCTAATGGATAAAAGGGATGTCATTTCTTGGAATTCTATGATATCCAGTTACGCAATACACGGCTTAGGAGAAAAGGCTATTGAAGTTTTTCGAGAGATGGTGAGGTGTGGTGTGTCACCGAGTCCTATATCATTTGTTAGTGTTTTGGGAGCTTGTAGTCATTCGGGGCTTGTTGAGGAAGGGAAATATTTATTTCATTCTATGGTGAAAGAACATGGTGTTTATCCTAGAGTGGAGCACTATGCTTGTATGGTTGATCTTCTTGGGAGAGCTAATCTGTTAGAGGAAGCGGCCAATATCATAGAAGATATGCAGATTGAACCCGGACCTAAAGTATGGGGTTCTCTTCTTGGATCCTGTAGGATTCATTGCAACGTTGAGCTTGCGGAGAAGGCTAGCAAACATCTTTTTGAGCTTGAACCTACAAATGCTGGAAATTATGTACTTCTAGGTGACATTTATGCACAAGCTAAAATGTGGGAGGAGGTAAAAAGAGTGAAGAAGCTGTTAGAAGCTAAGGGATTGCAAAAGGTCTCTGGTTGTAGCTGGATTGAAGTAAAAAAGAAAATTTATGCGCTTAAGTCCATGGATGAGTTAAATCCACAAATTGAGCAGATCCATGCTTTCCTGCTAAAACTGTCTACAGAGATGAAGGAAGAGGGTTATGTGCCAGAGACCAATGTAGTGCTATATGATCTCAATAATGAGGAGAAAGAACGAATAGTATTGGGCCATAGTGAAAAGCTAGCAGTTGCATTCGGGCTAATAAATTGCAGTAAAGGGGAAACCATCAGAATAACTAAGAATCTGAGATTATGTGAAGACTGTCATTCTTTCACGAAATTCATTTCAAAGTTTGCAAATAGAGATATTTTGGTTCGAGATATTAATCGCTTTCACCATTTCAGAGACGGGGAATGCTCTTGTGGGGATTACTGGTAACTTGTGCAGAATTTCAATCTAGGTTCGATCTAGTCTTTGCTTATCATAAAGGTGTCATCTAAGGGATTCTCCAAGAGCTGTTAAGCACTTCATGCATGTACAGGTTAGGTAATATATTCAGTCATTTCACATATACGACCTCCGAAAGTGTTTATGCATTGAGGTTTTTACTTGTGAAATTTTAGAGACGGGCATGCCCTTGATCTAGTAATACGAATGTTTACAGAAAATACTAATTAAAGAGCGCTAAATATATATTTACAACTTAGTTCAGCTGCATACAATGAATTGAACTGATAGAAATTTCTCTTTATCTGATTTATCATCTATCTCCAATGTATTAATATAATTGTATGCTGAAGCTTGGAAAAGAATCTTCAAGCAATCTGGCCACTTTGTTTTTACATTAATAATCACATGGGTATTTATTGTTAATAATCAAAACAATGCAATACTTTAAAGGGGTCATACAATCTGACCTCTAGTGAATGAAAGAAATGAAGATGAACTTAACAGGTCGGGGCTCTTGCCAATAGGTTGATGCAAAGGCCTGCTAAGTTGTCCTTGCCTCCTCTATTAATTGTCCCAATACTTCAGACCCATGATCATCACTACTGCATAAAATTTTGGCATGCTCTTCAACCTGTTTCATTAATTCCACGTGACTTAATTGCTGATCAGTCATATGAGTAGCCTCAACCCCAGAACCCTCCACTACAGTACTAAGGGATTTAGCTTTACTATTTCAGCTTAGTTCATTACCCACATTAGTAGTCAACTTCATTACTTGGAGAAAACGCTCATTACATCATAACCTTCAATCAGAGTGCAATTCATTCCATCTCCAATTCTCCATCCATCATGCAAGTAATTGGTACAAAATTCGTGCTTCACTTCCCCTTTGGTCTCTAGGTACTTTGGGCAGTTCCCACAATTGCACACCATTAGTTCCATGAGAAGCACCATTGCCCCCAATTTTTGTGTGCTTACCAACTCTGCATCTTCCACTGGCTCCCCCATTTACCTCCTTCCCTCCAAGCTTTTGCTTAGTGTTTCCTTAATTCCTGCTACTGGGATGGGTAAGTACCATAGTTATTAAAACAGGACCGGACGCCGGTCCGACCAAAACCTGGCTACCACACACGTCTGGTCCGGATTGAGCCAATGGACAGTTTGACAAACAAACTGGTCAAAATTGCAACCAGACAGGTTTTTGAAGTAACAGGAACAGGTCCAATGAACGCTATTTGTCTTAGCTGTCTTATTCGCTGCCTCTTTTTACTCTTCATATTTATCCAGAGAGGGTTCTTTCATTTGGAGAACAACATTTTTATTCTTAACCTGAAGTTTGCCAGCCACCCTGTTGCCACCAGCTGGGAACTGAGGTCAGCCCTGCAGGATCAGCACCATTTTCATACTTGTCACCTTTTAACCCCAAGCAATCCTCCCTTAGTGCCCCCAGAGTGAGCAGCAGGTGCAAAAGGATGGAGCATTCTCATTGTCTATTTTTTGCCAAAAAGTGATATTTGTCATTCCCAACTCTCACTCATAAGTTTAGGCTAAGATGCATCTCTACACTGTAGGTTCATCAATCTTGAGAGGTTATGATGCACTGATACGTAAACTCGTGACATTACTTTTTTAGGAAAGTAGTTGCATGATACGTCGTCTACCCGTTGACTAAAATTCTTAAAATTCTTCATTTATATAGTATACACTTCTTAATTTTATACTTATTATTAATTTTCTTGTTAAAATCTTTTAAAAATATGAGTACATATTTGTTATTTAATAATATTTGAGTTAAAAATTTATAATATCATCGATAAAGGAAAAAAACTTGATCATGATACAATGTTCGAGGAATAATGTATTCAACACATGTCCGACATGGACCTGGCATTTTAGTTGAAATGGTTATGCAACAAAGTGAGAGGCAAAGTAGAGCAATCTAAACTTGAAACAATTGAGTTTTCTCTTCTGGGATCCAATTCATGTCTATTTGAGTAGTCTCATAGAACCCATGAAAGTTTACCTCTAGTATGGATCAACCTGAGTTAAATAAAGTCTCTTTCGTTTGGCTTAAAATAGAAATTATGAAGCTTCACACACCTCAAAATTTGTAGAATGAAAAGAGGATTTCTATGGACATTATATCATTATGCTTCCATTTTTCTGACATTGGAATAACTTATATGTAGTGATGTACTACTATTTTGTAAATTCATTTTATATATTTTACACAATAGTTTAACGATACATTTCACAAACAAGAATATTTAATTTTCAAGGTTCACTTAAATACACAATTACATGTTTGTATTTGTATACATGGTTGTCGGAAATGTCGGAAAAATCGATACATCAACTTCTTCTACTCAAGAATAAAACCTAAGAGTTGGGCATGTTGTGTATTCTCAAATTGATTCTCATAAAAAATTGTAAAAATGAAATCAATGGTTGCATGGACAATAATTGACCGGAATCGACCAATTCCGATGATAATCCTATTTAGTTCCACTCTTTCATTATTCTTTAAAACTTAAATTTTTACTTCCAATTTTTAATAAGATTTGTCAAATATATTTCAATTTGGTACATGCACAAAGATATTATTCACAAACTAAATGTTCCGAGTTATTAATGATCAAAATTGAGATATGAACTAGGGAAAGATAATGAGTTAAACCAATGAATGCTCGATAAACATTCGACGGATTATTAATTACTCATCAAACTAAAAAGGGAAAAATCTAATTAATCGTTCGTCTATTAAAACATTTCTCATCCAACATTCTTTAAAAACTAGTTTACATCCTTGATGGAAAGTTCAATGTGACTGAAGGAAATCCTACTTGACACTCAGATGCAGTTAAATGCTTCCTCCTCGAAAGAAATGCAATCAATGAATGATCATTAAACTTTGGTGAGGTTACTACTTGCCAGTGAACCAAAAAATGTATCTCATTACTTACCCATCTATATGAAAATAAATAAATAATCCATCCACTATTCATTAAGAAACGTTTCCTTCCCCTTATGGAAAATTTCACATAGCAAATTCAATTTCACTTTGTACTGAAATAGCGTAAAATACTTCCTCTTAAGCGAAATCGAAGCTCCCAAAAAGGCCAAAATATAATTTGTTACAAGAACTTCCTATTGTATGGCTGTTCATGAATCAATAAAAATGTGTGTGGACACAAAAAAAATAATAATAAAATAAAATTAATAATAGATATATATATATATATATATATATATATATATATATAAA